GATTGCCCTCTGTGGAGTGGCTCACACTCAGAGTCTTTCTGTCTGCTGCGAGTCAGAAGGGCCTGAATGAAAACATAGAACCTTGGTGGCATTGACGAGTGAAAGGAGGACCACTTGTATCTGGAGCTATATGGGGAAAAGGAAATGAAAAAGAAAAAGAAAAAACAAACCCTGATCTAAGTGGGACCAATTTTACTTCTTCCACTTTCCCGAGACAAAAATAAAGTAATTAATTAACTTATAAAGTGTTACAACTATGTTCAATGGGAAACATTAACATATACAATTACTTATATTGAACATTACAACTACCTATACCTGGTTAATTCTTTCCCCCACCACCGCCACCCTATTACACATCTAAACTATCTCCACAATTTCTTTTTAGGATTATGGCTTGAAATTCTATCTAATTTTATATAGCTTAAGACTATTCCGGAGAGATTGCATGTATTATGGAGAAGCTGATATGCCTGTTCACATACAAAACCCCAAGCGACACAGTATTTATTCACAGGACATATTCCTCATATTTGAAGTGAGTTGCTCTGGGGTTACACTCACAAAGGAGTGGGGCTGAGTGCACTTTCACTTGGTGTTTGTTCATGCCTACTCCAGCTAATTATTCCTAGAGCCAGATTCTGAAATATCAGCTGCTCTTGCCAGGGTCTGGCTCTGTTGGTAGCTTTCTGTAACATCTCCTCTCAGATGCATGATGATTTAGATATTTAAGACTAAACAAATCAGACAAAACATTAAGACTACCACAGTCCCTATCACTGCCTACCCAGTAGATCTGTCTGTTGCACAGCTTCTCAGCTGTGTTCCCTTCATATTTCTGCTTGAAAGTTCCCTATAGTCTAATGGCAGCTGCTTTTAGTTTTTAGGATTCCCTGAACTACATTGTATTATTGAGTTATGATGACCACACCATAGTCCACCCAGTTATTTGCAGGGAATACATTCCCAGACCCCCAGTGGATGTCTGAAACCAAAGATAGTAGCAAACCCTATATATACTATGTTTTTTTCCTAAACATACACACCTATGATAATGTTTATATATTAAGCACAATAAGAGATTAACCTCAATAACTCACAACAAAACAATAATTATAAGAATATATACACTAATAATAGACAAATATGTAACTTGACTGTACCTCCACAATGCCCCCACACACCGCCAATCTGGAGAGAATATGCAAATTAATGGGACAAAGATGGCAGCAGCCACGGAGCCAGCCAAAGCAGGTGGGAGGCTTGGGTCACCCCCAGTGATGGAGGAAGCCAAGCTTCCCACCAGCCTGGGCCAGCCGCTGAAGGAGGGGCCTGTGGACAGTGGCCACAAGCAGGCCAGAGCAAGTGGGAGGGTTGGGTCACCCAGGCTGGCTGCCAAGGGATGGGCCTGCAAACAGCCCTCAGTCCTTCACCCAGGCTGGCCATGCCCCCCATTGGATGAGGGTCCCTGCTGGGGGGCATGGCCAGCCTAAAAACGGCCCTCAGCCCCTTACCCAGGCTGGCTATGTCCCCATGGGGTGAGGGTCCCTGCTGGGGGGCATGGCAAGCCTGAAAACAGCCGTCAGCCCCTCACCCAGGCTGGCCATGCCCCTCCAGCGGGAACCCTCACCCCATGGGGGCGTGGCTGGCCTTGCAAACTGCTCCAGACCCTCGCACAGGCTGGCACCATGCCCAGTGGGGACTCCCACACCAATGGGGGCATAACTGGCCTGCAAACCACCACAGGCCCCTTTCCCAGGCTTCCCTGCCCCCCAAGGGAACCCCCACACTGATCTGGGACACCCTTCAGGGCAAACCAGCCAGCTCCCACCCATGCACCAGGCCTCTATCTATACTAATAAAAGGGTAATATGCTAATTAGACTGAGAGACCTTCCAGGAGACCTTCTGGACATTCTTCTGGACAAGGCCATGGTGGCAGGGCCGAGGTAGAGGTGGTTTAACCAAGACTATCTATACTAATACAAAAGTAATATGCTAATTAGACTGGGAGACCTTCTGGTAGACCTTCTGGACAAAGCCATGGTAGTGGGGCCAAGGCAGAGTTGGTTAGGGGCAATCAGGCCAGCGGGGAAGAGCAGTTAGGGGTGATCAGGCCAGCAGGGGAGAGCAGTTAGGGGTGTTCAGGCCGGCAGGGGAGGGCAGTTAGGGTCATCAGGCTGGCAAGCAGAGGTGGTTAGGGGGGATCAGGCAGGCAGGCAGGTGAGTGGTAAGGAGCCCGCAGTCCTGGATTGCCACAGGGATTGGGCCTAAACTGGGACTCAGACATCCCCCAAGGGGTCCCAGATTGGAGAGGGTGCAGGCAGGGCTGAGAGACAACCCCCTATGCATGAATTTCATGCACCGGGCCACTAGTCTATATAATAAAAGCCTAAGCAACCGTTATGGCAGAACAACCAGACGACTGGTCACTATGATGTGCACTGACCACTGGGGGGGCAGACACTTAATGCAGGAGCTGCCCCCTGGTGGTCAGTGTGCCCCCACAGCGGGAGTGTAGCTCAGCCAGAAGCTGGGCTCATAGCTGACGAGCGCAGTGGCAGTGGCAGGAGCCTCTCCTGCCTCCGTGGTTGTGCTAAGGAGCAGCGAGCAGGCGAGTTGTAAAGAGCAAGGGGTCCTGGACTGCAAGAGGGATGTCCGACTGCGAGAGGGCACATGCCGGGCTGAGAGACCCCCCTCCCTTCAGTGCATGAATTTTGTGCACCAGGCCTCTAGTACTGTAATAAAAGTTATGGGAATGTGGTCTGTTTCTCTCTCTCTCAAAATATCTTCTTGTGCTGTTCTCATCATTCTTCTCCTTGTGATGATGTGAGACAATGCAATGCCTACAGGATGAGATGAAGTGAGGTGAGTGATGTAGGCATTGTGATGTAGTAGTGTTAGACTACTTTCAGGGTTACTTGAACACCTGCACTGGGATACCACGACAGTCAATCGGATAACTGAGACAGATGCTGCTGAGTGATTAATGGGTGGGGAGTGTGTACAGCGTGGATTTTCTGGACAAAGGGATGATTCATGTCCTGGTGGGTCAGAGCAGGTTGGTGTGAGATGCCATGGTGCTACGTAGAATGGTGTGCAATTTAAAACTTAGCATGTTAATTCTGGAATTTCCTATTTAATACTTTCAAACTGCAGTTGACCGCTCAGGTAAGTGCAATTGCAGAAAGGGAATCCTTGGATGAAGGGAGAATACTGTAGCTTGGAGGACTTGCAGGGTCAGAGGACCAAACATTCAAGTAAGTATCTAATATCATATCAATACTCGTAAGAATTTGAGACCAACTTAAGTCCACACTTTGTAACCGAGTCTTATGTAATGTGCTAATTACCACCTCCATCTGGCTAATTCGATAATTTTCTGACAACAGACCAGCATGTTAGCCTTCTAACTCACTGTCCTCTATGGCGAGGGCTGTGTTGAAAATTCCCTGCGGAGTGTGGCTGTGACTGAGGTCTCCTTCAGAGCCTTTGCTCTTCTGGCTGACTATACAGAGTCTTCTCTGGTGTGTTTGCTTTGAAGAAAGTCATCATCCATACGAGTGTTTCTGAATGACCACTTCAGTGATTTTTAAATACACTTGCAACTTGTTGACTTGGGGAACTTTCCAGAAGACAGAAAGCAAGTTCTAACGCTTCCTACTAGGTTGTAAATCTGAGAACCGTGTCTGTCAAACTGCAGCAAATTGAAACATCCTTGCTTTGAAACTGTTTATTACTACTTTAGAGGATGGCAAAGTGGCCCTTGTTTTGAGTTTTGTCTGCCTTTGTTTTATATTATTGGCAACTCTCCTGAAGAACTTTGGTTTTCTTTCTGGTTTTGTCTAAGTCCATAATACTTATTATCCATTTGATGACCTTTGTGTTAAGTCTGACCCTTTAGCTTTAGCTTCCATTAATAAGCCTTGTCTCTACCATCCAAATTATGAACATACACTCTACTCAGTGCTCCTACACTATGCTAAGATGAATGTTGACATTTCTTGGGCTCTAAATATACATTGAATATCATTGTAATGATATGCCCTAACTCAGTCGCCACAACAACGCTATGATTTAGGTTTTCATCTTCTTCCCATTTTTTGGAAAAGGAAATCAGGTCTCAGGGAAATTAAGTAACTTTCATAGCTACTAAAGGACAAAGGTAGGATTCAAATTAAGACCCATCAGGTTCCAAAGCTTCGTGTGATGATTCCATAATGCCAAACAGACTGACCCTTTCTGGCTGGAAAGCTACAATTCTTCAGTCAAAGGGAGTGTTTGCTCTGAAATACAATTTGGAGACCCAGGAATTAAAGAGAAATTGCTATTCCAGTCCCATTTTTTATATTTTTTGTCTGTTTCTCTAGATAGCCCTTGAGCTTGTTAATTTTTTTCCTGTTATAAGAAATGCTATTTCTGTTTAAGTGCTCCTGGATTTGGAAATAATTCTCATGACTAAATATTTGTTTGCCTGGGAAGAGCCGTGTAGAGCTACGCTGCCAGTGGGTGCTCAGTGAAGATTAATGGATGGCCGTGCATGTCTGTGTGGGAGTAGGCTGCTTAGAAGCTGCTCAGTTCTCCGAAAGAGACAGGAACGGTGTAGGAAAGGTGAAATCACAGGATCATCGCCCAACCCAGGTCCTGGGTTTTTGTACTGGACTTTGTCACTTAAGGGTCCCAAAAGCCCAGGGAATGTGGGGTCTGGTGTTTTCTTGATAAATGATCGGGAAGTGCGATGAAGAAAAATTAGATTCTAAGGCCTACTTCCAAAATTAATACTATCCAATATGAGAGAGAGCTTGGTTCTCTGGTGAGGACTGAAGAGAATCAAATATTTTTTTAATTGACACATTTTCTATTATTATATACATGCAAAGATGATGAGTAATATGCCATATCAGATGGTTTATTCAAACTGTCAGGATCAGGGCTAAAGCGTGAGTAACTTTCCAGAGAACCTTCTGAGAAATTCAAGCCGTGGAAAGTGGCGGTACCCAGCCATACTACTCAGTCATCCATGAAAATCTTGGGGTGGGGGGAAAAGCTACTTCCGAAGTACATGGTGTGGCATTTCTAGAGAAAAGGAAGAAGACCGATAATTTAAACTTCACTAAAAAAACACAAATGTTCATGCATTGCCTGGGTTTGTGCATTCAACTGAAAGACAGGGGTCGGCCTTGTGACCTGGGAGATGAAATCTTCATGGGGTGATGACTACTGAGCACCTTTCCAAACCTCGGCAGAACTTTGAGATGGTAGAGCTCTCAGTTGCAAAATCAAGCTTTGCTTTGGCATCAGAGAAAATGGAAAGAGGAAAGCCTCAATTACTGGGACTAGTACCATAGGTCTTGGGCCGGGTTGGAATGCGCCGATACCACGTTGTATGGGAAGTGCACAGGCTGCCTTGGAAATACTGTGGGTTTGGTTCCAAGACCACAGTAAAGTGAATATCCTAATAAAGTGAGTCACGTGAATTTCTTGATTTCCCAGTGCATACAAAGTTATGTTTAGACCATGCTGTAGTCTATTAAGTGTGCATTAATCTAAAAAAACCAATATGCATACCTTAACTAAATATACTGTATTGCTAAAACATGCTAACCATTATCTGAGCCTTCATTGAGTCATAATCTTTTCCCTGGTGGTTGCTGCAAACCTTCAATGTGTACAAAATGCAGTATCTGTGAAGCTCAGTAAAACGAGGTGTGCGATACTGGCGCTGGATGGCCTGCTTTGCTCTTGGCTCTGTGTCTCAGTCTCACCATTTGCAGAGTGAGCAGGTGGAGACTCGCTTGCTACGGTCCCTTCCAACTCTACTATTTTATGTTATCCTCAGGGTGGGGGAGGAAGTGACTTCCAAGGTACATGGTTTCTCTATGAGATGAGCATTCTTCAAAGAGGAAACTCCATGTGTCTTGAGACTTTTGTTGAGAATTTATTTATACAATCCTACCTTTAGAAAACTCTCGATTTTTTCCCTCACTGGACCCTCTTTAGCAATAAAGAGGTCTCATGAAGTTTGATAATTTGGTGGTACTGTATCAGAGAACAGTTTATGTCAGTAACTCACGGCTCTCCATTGCTGACACCATACTTTTTACCACCTTGTCTTCCAAAAGGAAGGTGACTTTAGAGAAGCAACCCAGAAGATGTGTTAGGAAAATAGGTATTGTGTCCAGGACAGAACTTAACTGTGTCTGCTGCTCGAACATCTGAAAATAAGGTAGCTCACGTGAATTGAAATATTCTGAAATACACGTATAATTATACCCAAGATATAGACACACATTCATAAATAATAAAAATGAAAGGTTTGAGAAGTGGGGAGTATTTCCCAGCAGCAGGAGTGCCTCATGAGCCAAGCTGAGGTGCTGTGGAGACCTGGGCCAGGCTGAGCCCCACTGCCGGACACTCACAGTTGATTCTCCCAGGAAAGACCTGCAGGAACTGCTGACATTTCTTTTAAAAGAATCAATGAATCTTTGTTTCCTTCTGCTTGCTCATTTGACCTTATTTAGTTTGAAAGCAGGAAAGAAAGAATGAAACCAACAGGGTGGGGTCAGGGTAGGCAGAAGAGCCAGAGAAGGAGGGGTCCACGCTGTGGAGCCCACAGACAACATCACCCAGGGTGTTAGTCTTTTGTTTGGTTGCTGTAGTCTTATTTGTTCCTGCTTCTCATTTCACATTCTCGCCCTGATGTAGTAAGTCTCTGTCTTCCCAGCCATCATCCCCATATTGACAAGCAAATGTCATCCATGTTTGATTGACATCCATTGCTCCTGAGTGCAAAAGTATGATTTACGAATCAATTCTACTTGTTTATTTCAAGCTATTCTTGTGTGTCTTATGTGTGTGTTGGTGGGATAACTTGCCTAATATCTACTCCTGGGCTTTCCATTCGTATTATAAATCCAGGCTGTGCGTTCTCCTGCTCTCTCATGGCGTAGGCTCTTCCTTCTCATATTTTTTTCTATTTTCCCCACCCCCCACGTACAGGCAGGAAATGTGCTATGGAGCTTAGAGGACTTGTTCCATATCTTCGGAAAAAATCTTGCCCAGTACTTTGGTAAATGCTACTTGCTTTAGCCTGAGACTTTTGAAGTCATTTTGACCAGTGATCATTTCTCATGCATGTAACACCTTCGGGCCCAATGGCTGTACCTCCTGAAAGGCTGCTGGAATTGTGAGCAGAGCATATATGCATACACGCACCATTTGTAACACTTGTAAAAAGAACCGATCCCTCCCCCCTTTGTGTGGTGGGCAGGTTCATTTAAAATAATTGAGAAATGTCCTTTGGCTTTTCAACACACCTTACTGTTCTCCGAGTAACAGCTTATATTCTGTTTTAGAAGGCTGGTGAGGAAAACCATAAGGTTAAAAAAAAAAAGACCACACATCTACCATCTGGACAATTCTAAAGGGCCCTCCTTATGTTAAAAGTGGCATTTTAAAAACACCTGAGACACTGGCTGTGGGTGAGCCTGTAGAGAAATATTGTCAACCAAGCCACCCTCCTTTCAACCTTCTCCTCCATCTTCCAATTGGTGCTGCTGGCAGTGGTGACACAGGGGGCTGAGGTGTGACCCTTGAGCTCTGAAGGCCATTGCACGTCTGTCTCCCTCCCCCACGGACGTCCAGTGAGAGCGCTGCCATCCTCTGGGTTCAGCAAGGGAGTATTATTCAGGATCTCACTGTTCAACCTTGTGCGGGGCGGG